GCAGCTGGAAACTATCATTCTTAGCAAACTATCCCAAGAACAGAAAACCAAACACCACATATTCTCACTCATAGGTGGGAACTGAACAATGAGATCACTTGGACTCGGGAAGGGGAACATCACACACCGGGGCCTATCATGGGTAGGGGGGAGCGGGGAGGGATTGCATTGGGAGTTATACCTGATGTAAATGATGAGTTGATGGGTGCGGACGAGTTGATGGGTGCAGCACACCAACATGGCACAAGTATACATATGTAACAAACCTGCACGTTATGCACATGTACCCTAGAACTTAAAGTATAATAATAATAAATAAATTAAAAAAAAAATACAAAGAGAACTAGCCCGGCGAGGTGGTGGGCACCTGTATTCCCAGCTACTCAGGAGGTGGAGGCAGGAGAATGGCGTGAACCCGGGAGGCGGAGCTTGCAGTGAGCTGAGATCCGGCCACTGCACTCCAGCCTGGGCGACAGAGCAAGACTCCGTCTCAAAAAAAAAAAAAAAAATCTGTATCGCCTTTGCCTTTTAGTTTTCCTAGGCTGTAGCGCTACTAAACTACTTCCACTTCTTGCTATGTGTTATGATGTTTAACTTATTCATGCTTCCATACATGTGAATTTCTTGGAGAAACTTTCCAACAAGTTGTCCACAGGATTTTGAATACCTCCTAGAAACTTGCGGAAATATCTGGAAAGACGTTATCTACTTCTGGTTGTGTATTTAAGCTTGGATCCACTTTTAACTAGAACTTAATAATTTAGAGACAGTGTTCTTTGGGTTACTGATGACAGTAATTTAAATAGGATACAGAAACCAGGCACCCTATTAATTGTTGCCTATTTGTGACTGCATATTTACTGTGTTCCATGCATTTTAAAGAGCATAAGCATATATACACATATATGCAGTAATGATACAATACATGTGTATATATTCTTAATAATTATAGATATAAAACTTTATATATATATGTTTAGTAATGATATGCATATCGATTTTATCATCATGAAGAGTAGTGGTATGGTTTGGATGTTTGTCCCCTCCATACCTCATGTTGAAATGTAATCTCCAGTGTTGGAGGTGGGTCCTGGTGGGAGGTGTTTGAATTACGGGGGTAGATCCCTCCTGAATTGGCTGGGTGTCATCCTTGAGGTAATGAGTGAGTTCTCAGCTATGAGTTCAAGTGTGATCTGGTTGTTTAAAAGAGCATGGAACTTTCTTCTCACTCTCTTGCTCCCTTTCTCACCATGTGACACACTGGCTCCCCTTTGCCTTCCCCTGTGATTATAAGCTTCCTGAGGTCCTCACCAGAAGTAGATTCTGGCACTGTGGTTCATATACAACCTGCAGAATTGTGAGCCAATTAACCTTTTTAACTTTTAAATTATCCAGCCTCAGGTATTCCTTTTTAACAGTGTAAATGGACTAACACAAGTGGCAATAAGGAAATAATTTCTTAGCAAGGTTAAGTCCTGATAACTTGCCCCAGGCTTTGGATTTAATCTCAGATCTCTGTGACTATAAAATCCATATCCTTTTGCACCAGATGTGTTTTTTAAATCTCAGTTATTTGTTTGTTTCTCCATAGCTGATTCTGACCACTTAGGTGTGAAATCAGACAAATTTTTCTTAAAAACTATGTCCCTAAAACTTAAAGAAAAGGGTCCCCTTCTGCCTAAGTCTCTCCATGGTGTTAAGTTGTTTCATCAGCTGTCCCTAATTTAGGGCAGACTTTTTTTTTTTTTTTCTCCTCTCTAAACACAAGCCACAAACTCATGAAATTGGCAGAAATAAAGAACACACAAACAGGTTGACTGGTGATTGGTTGGCTCAAGACTAGGAAATACTGTTATTTGAAAAATTACTTGATTGGTAGAAGTCACATATGCACATAAGGAAACAAACATACCCACACATATGTCAAGTTCCCGGGGCTGACTTTTGTCTTTGGAGTATCATTTCTCTAATAGCTTGCTTACTAGATTCACAAGCGGAAGTTTCTACCACCCTGCACAAGGAAACCAGTTTAAACACTGCTTTCAAGTTGCCATTTTCTTCCCCTTAATGATTCTTCATTGTGAGTGCAGTAACGTCTAGGCTTTTTAACTTGGATTAATGTCCCTTCAAAACTACACTTGAGCCTGATCTCACGTCTCTCACTGCTCCCCTACTGACTGTTAACTTTCCTTCAAATAAATCTTGAACTTTTCTGTTTGGCTTCACTTAGACAAGTGTCCCCCATTCAATATATTACCATTTGTTTTCCTTCAAACTATACCTTCAAGGTCTAACCTTTCCTGTGTTACTCTCAAATGCACTCTCATTTTCTGTCTCAAATCCATTTCTCTTTACGTGTCACTGTTGTTAAAGGGAGTGATTTTACTTTAATATTTTCTTTTCCTGCAGTTCACTATAACTGTTATAATACGAAGTGCTAAGCTATTTTTTTAAAAAATCTTAACCACATAATGCCTTTCTCATGTAAACCTGTATATGTATTGATTAGTGTTAAAGCAAAATATTGAGTACATGTAACATAAAGTAAGTTGATTCTTATCACAACTGCCATATATATGGTTATTAATTATAAGTTGCTTATTTATTAGTGTAGATATTTAGATTTTTATTTGTTGATATAGAGTATCTATAGATTTCTTTTTATTTGTGCCAGATATTGACTTCTAAGAAAAAATATCTAGTTCAATGTGTGAACGTGAATATTTATACTTTACCTCATCTGTATAAATCTCTCTCTAGATAGATACATAAACACACAAGTATATATAAACATCACATGTTTTTAAAAATATATATTTACTTATACATGCACATATATTCCTATATACTCTGTATGTCAACTGCAGTTGAAATAAATGTATCTAAAATATTGCGCAACACAAGTGGAAACTGAAGGACAAAAGCAGAAACAATTAAATATATATACAACAATCAGCCAATACTTTCTGAATTTCAGGTTAATCATTTATAAAATGAAATGAATGCCCATATGTGCATTTGTTTTGAGAAATATGTGATATATGTGAATTGGTTTGAAAATTTGGAAGCACTATGTAATAAACTAGTAAACATTATGTTATTATACACACACACACATACACACAAATGTGCTAAATCAATATGGTTTATGATTAAAAACTCTGTTTCCATTTTCAATATTTTTGTGTTATGTCAAATGCACTCTCATTTTTTCATGAAAAATCCATTACTTTCAAAGTCTTGCTGCATTGAAAGTAGTAATTTTATCTTGGTATTGTTTGTCTACAGTTCACTAACACTATTATAATACTAACTGCTATGCTATAATGCTTTAGTCCTAACCATTTAATCATAAAAAATAAAATTTATTATGAATACCCAAGATTGATGATCTTCTGTCATAAAGTGAGACAAAACACACAATAAAATGTGGCTCAGATTGGATTTAAATCTCAATCCATGTCAGTTTACCATTATTGTTTTTCTAATTGAAATTGTTTTAATAAGGGAAATATTTAAATATTATGTTTTTGTTTTTTGGTTTTTGATTTTTGGTTTGTTTGTTTGTTTTTGAGACGGAGTTTCACCCTTGTTGCACAGGCTGGAGTGCAATGGAGTGATCTCAGCTCACTGCGACCTCCACCACCCAGGTTCAAGCTATTCTTCTGCCTCAGCCTCCATAGTAGCTGGGATTACAAGCACCCCCCCTCCCCCGCCAACGCCCTGCTAATTTTTTTCTATTTTAGTGGAGAAGCGGTTTCACTATGTTGGTCTTGAACTCCTGACCTCAGACAATCCACCCACCTTGGCCTCCCAAAGTGCTGGGATTACAGGTGTGAGCCAACATGCCTGAATCTTAAATATTATGTTTCTATACAGTATGCCTTTTTAATAATTATACAATAGGCTAGACTAATTAAAATTACCATACATCATAATAGTACTAAATGTATCTACAGAATATTCAGGTACAGGAACATGACCAACAAGAAGAAATAGTATCTAATTATTTGGATCAGAGAAACTAGTATGCCAGACAATTACAAAAAAGTCCTTAATTTTAGACAATAGAAAATATTTATTAAGCAATATAAGTTTCTTACGGAATGACTGGGTTGACTAGGGTCACTGGACCTTGGCTAAAGTTGTCAGAAAACATCACTGAATCATCGAAAGGTAAGGGCGGTTCTCAAATGACCTAAGGCAGCTGTCAATGATAGGGCTATATACATAGAGTGTTTATTTTCTATAAATGTATTTGAATATATCTGTAGGTCATTTGAAGAAAAGGTGTGATTTTTATTATTCTTTCCAAGGAACTGGAGTTCTTTAAATTGGATTTCCTAGGTATATCGTCCGTTTTCACGCTGCTGATAAAGCCATACCCCAGACTGGGCAATTTACAAAAGAAAGAGGTTGAATGGACTCACAGTTCCATGTGGCTAGGGAAGTCTCACAATCATGGGAGAAGGCAACAAGTAGCAAGTCATGTCTTACACGGGCGGCAGCAGGCAAAGAGAGTTTGTGCAGGGAAACTCCCCCTTAAAAAAACATCAGAACTTGTGAGACTTGTTCACTATCAGGAGACCAGCGTGGAAAGACCTGCCCCCATGATTCAATTACCTCCCACCAGGTCCCTCCCATAACACGGAGGAATTCAAGGTGAGATTTCGGTGTGACACAGTCAAACCATATAACTAGGTTACCTGATTAGTTTCTACAATGATATATTGATATACTTTTTTAATTTTTTTTTTCATTCCAAGTGAGTAGCATATGAAGTCTGAGTATTTGAGCTAAAAGTTTACAAAGATCATATAAACAACAAATCACAAACTGGTAGACTACTGGCCATGGAATCCCTGGATGCCATCAATGTTAAAAATGAGAAGACTATATATAAAAGGCAGCATCCTAATAAATTATCCTACAAATATGAAACTGCTAACACTGGATCCACCTCTTTCCAAAATTATCATCATCATCATCTTCATCATTACCATCATCATCACAGCCATCACAGAGTGCTTTCTCTTTTTCATCCACAGTGCCAACCCCATTGCAGACATTGTTCCTTTTAATCTTTACAGCAATCTTATCATGTAGGATACCCTATTATCATCTGAGAATTGAAGATAAGTAATTGCCCAAGAGTGTACAAGTAGCAGAGGATAAAGTCACATTTCAAACTAATACGATTCTGACGCATCAACCGTCAGCCAACAGTCGTAACTGGCCTGTTTGGATTCGGTGCCCCGCAGTTTGTCACAGTTTGCTCAAGTCTGCACGTGGTCAGCTTTTCTCATTATTGTTATTGGTTGGAAAACATGGCCCTTTGGACCAATGAGCACTTAGGTTTATGAAAACCCTTGTTTTACGGGGATAAAAATCCTCCAAAGTGAAGTCAAGCAAAGTTAACTATGTTAGGTTGTAAAAATACCAAAGATGTGTGCTTCTATCTATTTCAACAACTGACTTTCAGCCCAGCACAAAAACATTTCTCAATAAAGAATAACTGATTAATTGAAGGAAAAAGTAACAAATGACTACAGAGCATAGTTAATACTGGATTTGTGTTCAAGGTCCTCTATATTTTTGGTATCCAAATTTCACGAAAAATATCAACTGCCATAAATTGTTAGAAAATAGCATTGTTTTATTAATACATAGTGTAAGTTGGCGGGACTCGGTGGCTCACTCCCGTAACAACAGCACTTTGAGAGGTCGAGGCTGGTGGATCAGTTGGAGTCAGGAGTTCCTGGTCAACATGGTGAAATCCCGTCTCTACTAAAAATACAAAAATTAGCCGGGCACGATGGCTCTTGCCTGTAGTCCCAGCTACTCGGGAGGCTGAGGCTGGAGAATCGCTTCAACCCGGGAAGCAGATTGGAGTGAGCCGAGATCGCGCCACTGCACTCCAGCCTGGGCAACAGCAAGACTCCATCTCTAAATAAATAAATAAATAAATAAATAAATAAATAAAATAAAAATTAAAAAATATATAGTGTAAGTCATTTCTCCCAGGGCTTTATTTTTTTTATCTTATTTAATACTTCAACCATGTTCTGAACTAAATATTATTATTCCCACCTGACAGATAAGTAAAATCCTATCAGGACACTGATAGGCAAGGAACTTACCTAAAGTCACCTTGTCTAATGAGTAGCTTGATCAGGATGGGTTTAAACCTCATCACTATGATCACATTTCCAAAATGCTATTTTATTTACCATTATTGAGTTTTTCACTATTCAAGATTTTCTATTTTGATCATGGAATTACATCAGCAAGCTAATTGTTTAATTTTTGAATTATAATTCATAAAATACTTTGAAATAATGTGTGTGAAAATGCTCTATTGAATTTACGAAAAAGCAATTATATATGAAGTTTTACAAAAGTAACAGAAATGTTTCAATTAATTGAACAAAACACTATAGTTGGAAATTCAGCAGTTGTTAAGCTACTTGGAATCAAAGTTTATGTAAACTTATTTTAATCTGTGAAAGATATAAATTATAAATTCTTCAGTTTCTATTACTTTGAATGTAAATTGCTTTTTGGTTCTATTACTTTATATTGGCATATCTCAAATAGGTACACATTAAATCAGAAAATGTTCTATTTACACAAAAGCAACAATTTAAAAAGATAAATAAGGACCTTCAAAATATAGTAAAAGATTAATTAAATTTGGGACATAGCAGACAGTAGATAGAGTTAAAACAAACATAGACCACATATTTATGTATTAATAAATATTGAGCATTGGACAAATATTTATATCAAGGAAAACCACTGTCACTTTGCACAAAAACAGAGTAAAAACTTATAAATAACTATATTTTAAGATTGCCAGTGAGATTCATTTATACTGAAATTTTAATGAAATGTGTAAAATACATTTTTGGTATTTTATAGTAGATAACTCTCAAGACTATAACCTTTTCAGATATATGTAATGCTTATAAGACACACTCTTATTATTCATATGGAAATAGCTAAAGTTGTAGTTCTCACAGCAATTTCCTCAATAATTTTGTCAAATATCTGTTTTCTCTGAAGTCTAATTTCCTCCTCTGAAATTGTAGGCTACTTTGTCAACATTTCAGATACTTGTGAGGATTTAATAAGAAAATATGTTTAAATCTCATCCCCAGGTACATAAAGGCTTAACAAGTATAAATATATTTGTATATATTATTGTAAAGGTAAATATAGCCTGCCTCTTCTATTTTAAAAATGAGCATGTATCTAGTCACTCATTCTTAAATATACAATTCATATGTTGCTCTTTAGGTGTTTTAATCTGTATGGAAATAATATATTTGTACCCAAATAATAGTCATCTTAGGCTTAAACGCCATTTCTCGTTCATCATTTTCCCTGGAATAAGTTGATGCTTATATAGACAAAGTTTGGACAAATATAACCACATATTATTCACTAAAATTTAGAGAAACTTTCTGTTTATACTCAGGGCTGTTCTCTTAAGCAAACTGGTAAGAGAAATTGTGAATATGATTTAAATATCATTAAGTAGGTGAAGTTACTATAATAATTATGCATCAGATATTCAGAGTCTAGACTAAAAAACTACTAAGAAGAAAAAAATACTAGAAAATAAAACAACAGCCAGTAAGTAAGCCAAAGTAAAGAAAATCTGACAAAAGAAAAATACAATGAAAATAATTTCAGTACTGTAGGAAAAGCTAAATCTCATATAAAGAGTAAGAATGAAAAATACTTATAGATATAGACACATACATATATACTTGCATTTATACACATATGTGTCTAAGCATATTTGCACTTATATACACATATATGTATGTGTCTATATCTATATGCATATATGTATACAGACCTAGATATAGATAAACATATAGATTTAAAATGGAGGAATCAGTGTGGAGAGAGCACTGTGCTACTTAGCCACATAAGAAATTGATGTTGCAGAATAGGCAGCTCAGGACTGTCATGATGATCATATTTTCAAAATAATGGTTTCTGTACTTGTCAGAGGGATTTTTTTTGTTGTTGTTAACTGTCAGACAAAAGGGCTAAGGGTGAGCACACCAAATAAAACCTAAAGATATAGGGGAAAAAAGGTTCCAGCAAAATGTAGTTTCATGCTTTGAAAATTGCAATAGAAAAGGAGAATTTGGCAAAAAGAAAAGTAAATGATAAAATTTATGTTGTTAACCTAAAGTGAGAAACAAAATGATCAAAAATCCATGTAAGTATCAGAGAAACCAACTGTGAAATACAAAAGAAAGGTATAAAATAGGTAGGAAAATAAAAGATAAAGTTTTTATTTTTTTTATTATTATTATTTTTTTAAATATCACCAATGTAGGAGTTCTTTCTAAGTTGGAGAAATCTTTAGATGCGAAAACATAACGTAAGTTAATTATATCCCATACTTTTAATAAATGTAATAAAACGGCTCAACTTGCTACCATATCTTGATGATAAAAGAAAAATAATTTTCTTTAGACTTTACTAGCACATAGGTGAAGGGTAGCAGAATGTGCCAGTCCAAAATATGCCACTTTGGCATGAATATTATTTTGAGCTACTGAAAGGCAGTGGAAAAGCAGCACATACAAGAAAAGCTTTCTGTCCTTCCCTATTTGGCTAAAAGCAGGACATAAATTTAAAAGGTGTCCCTCCTCTCCTTTTTATCAGAATGGACACAGATTGATCACCAGAGATGACCTCAGACCGTTACCAGACTACAGATGGCACCAAAAGAATCTATATATCAAACTTTACTAATAAGCCCTTATGTATCATATAGTTGCCTTTCCACAATTTGTTCCCCAAGAGATTCAAAGTCCTTATCCTTTTACTTGTCACTTCTCCAAAAATGTATTGATTTTTTTGTTGAAGATCCTATATAAGCAGGGTTCTAAGCCACCTCTTTGACAGCTATTAATTTTTACCTTGGGTATTTCCCATGCATAAATGAGTTACACATGAGGCATACATGTTAAGCAATTTTCATTTGTTTTCTTCTTGTTAATCTGTCTTTTCTTATAGAGGTCTCAACTAGGAACATAGAAGGATTGAAGATATATTATTTTTCCTCCCCTACATAGGCAATAGGTAAAAATAAGATCCCATTATATATGTATTTTAGACAGAGTTTCACTCTTGTTGCCCAGGCTGGAGTGCAATGGCGTGATCTCAGTTCACCACGACCTCCACGTCTTGGGTTCAAATGATTCTCCTCCCTCAGCGTCCTGAGTAGCTGGGATTACAGGCATGCACCCCCACGCCCAGCTAATTTTGTATTTTTAGTGGAGGCAGGGTTTCTCCATGTTGGCCAGGCTGGTCTCGAACTCCTGACCTCAGATGATCCACCTACCTCAGACTCCCAAAGTGCTGGGATTACAGGTGTGAGTCACCGCACCCAGCTGATCCCATTATATTTTATACACAACTTTTGTTAACTATGCTCCCATATGCTTGACTTCAATATATGATTACTCCCAACAGATATTTCTTATGGAGCTTGTGACAAGCACCACAAAGCTCCCCTCCCAGCATTCATTTACAGGTCTCCTTTCCTATTTAAATCAAATCATATGTATGTATGCATATTTGGGTTTGGTGGATCCATGAACTTAGTCTAAATGTCAGCTGAGATTCATCCAGAAGCCTCATGCAAAAATGATATTTCAATATTAACCTTGTGACTCCTCCATCAAAATGCCTTCTCTTGCCTTTTCTCCTCCTTCTTTCTCACTTCTTGCTTTTATTTCTCATCCTTATCTTCCTTCTTTTATTTCTCCTCTTCCTATTTCTCCTCCTATTCCTCATTCTTCTTTGTTAAAGTAGATCATTTCTTCATTTAAACTTATATCATGGTAATGAGTTTTCCTCTGCATTTGCTCACTGAAGAGTATTGGTGAAAAAGTTATGATTATTGGCCATTTGTCAAGTAACATCATATAGGATTGGATTTAGTCTATAGTTGAAAATAATTCGTCAAAGTAAGAAATTATTAAACCTAACAAATTAGTTTAGGATCTAATCAGTTTCAAATTGCATATAGAGATAGAAATGTTTGTATAACTATTAGCATGTTAATTAATAATATTAGCAAATTTTAGCAAAAAAATATACAAGAGTAGATTATGGACTTGTTTGAATAATTTACAGACAGTGTATGTCAGTTTTCCTGAATTCATCTCCATATTTCAAAGGCATTAAACACTCAATTCCAGATACTCAAAAGAGATGTT